CGAATTTTCACGAAAATTCCACTTTTATAACCTTCCTGCGACCGCATTCCTCTCGCTTGATCGCGTTCATAAATCTCTCTCTCTCTCTCTTTCTCTCTCCAACTATATTACATTGTCTCTATTTTCGAATAAACTCGGCACGAGTTGGCCCACAAACGCGAAAATAAAACGGGTATCCGAAACGTATAGATTCCTCTTTGCATTTCGCAATTTTCGAACGTTACTTAAGAGAAGATTTTCTCAAGAGAATGATAATTTCACACTTCAAAGCATCCAAACGCTTGCGAGAAAAGGAAAAAATTCTTTCTGCCGCGTTGATCCTGAAAAGTCACGACTTCTCGGCCACGAAGAAACTACTCACCTCGCGTAGAATACGTAAGAATGATTAATTCGCGAGTTATTTCGAGCGTCGTCGCCCGCGTCGAGAGACAAACACTGATTCTCGAGAGCCAGCGAGAGGAATGGATGTACGTGGCTTCATAAATATACGATACGCGTTTCATTGACGGATACGCGTACCATGGTTATCAACAAAACGCGCGTTCCTCGTGTTCCATTGGAAATAACTCGGCTTGTCCTGGTTAGACAGTAGAATAGGACAAGTCAAAGACCGGCGGCGACGTAACGAATGCACGCGAGTAACGCGAGCGAGAGTGAGGCCGCCATTCAACTTGTTTTTCCGTGACTCGAAGCCTACGTGTATATTTCTTTGTATATTTCTTTGCGATATGGTCGTATTAGAATGTTTGAAAAGATACTCTCGTGCAATTTCGATGCAAACAGTGATTCTTTTATGTCACATAGATGCAATATAAATGAATACAATGTAAAATAAACGTATTATGCAATATAAATGAATACACTGTAAAATTGCATTTCTTATAATGCAACGTAATGAATGTGTTGTATAGTAATTGTGTATTATACAATTTATCGTACAATGTAAAAAGCTGCATAATATTATATTGTATGATGTAAACATACAGTGTAGTGAAAAGTGGATATATTTGTAGAAAATATTATACTTGGACGTTTTGTGGGTCATAATTAAGGTTTTAATTAGAATCGGACGGGTTATAAAATGTTGACAATGTTTCGTACATTTGCTCAGAAGAATAAGTACAGTTTTTGACCAAAAAAATTAGGACTATTTAGAAGTTTCTACATCTTTTGTATTTTCTAGTAAAATTTAAAGACCTGAATTTGATTATAATTTAAATCCTCTTCCTCCCTTTACTTTGATTTTAGCATCTATCTTTTTCCATTTCACATCTTCCATGTGTATTTTTTTTTTTTATCTCGTCCTTTATTTTCGAATAAAATTTCTAAAATATTATAAGAGATGGATTCGCTTAATATATTTGTCACTGATATACTCCATCATGAGAATTCATTCCATCCTCTCGTCAATTGAAAGTTTTGTTATCCCTGCAATTGACGCTCGACAATAAAAATTAATGAAACATACGCATAGCAATACGCAAATTATTAATATACGTGTTGTAAAAATGCAACTATAATTTCATAAAATTATTAACCATCGTGTCGCGTAGATTGAATTTCTACTCAATTTCTTGAAAACATTTGGTTGGTAAGACACACCAGCAGAAAAATGTTAAAATCGTGAGTGGCCCTAATTTGTCAACCGTATGAATACACATACTCTGAAAACACGAGGCAAAGGTAACAATCCAACCGCGAGTGGTCGAACGGGATGAGGATCACGGTTGATCATGACGTGAGTGCCAAGAGTCCGAGTGTTTTCCCTCGACAGGAATAAAGTCACGTTCCAGAGGTGAAACACAAGCGAGACCCATGTTGAATTCGCTTGTCTTTGCGAAGCAGCGTCGACCACTTTGTGGACATGCCCTCGCATAGGCAAAGCCCGATGATTCGCGGCGTGATTCGTGCAGCCTCGTGTGTTCCAGTTCCACTGTGTGGATGCAATGGCCGAGCAAGGAAACGGCGGAAAGGGGGCTAATAGAGGGAAGATTGCAAAATTGCCTGGTCAATTGCTCGCGAAACGGTCCTTTCAATAATATGTTCTAACTGTTCCGGGACAGTTGCGCGGCTTTCAGCTGTTCGAATATGCTGGAATTTTGTTTGAATTGGGTGTCGAAGAGACGCAGTAATCGCGATTTTTTATGGAAAATTTTAGAGGCAGAGAAACTCTAGAGATACTAGATGCTAAACTTGCCAACTTGTTGTTCGAATCATCAATATTAACAGTGGTTACTGAAAGATTAAAGTACGTAACAAACGAGACAAATATTTCCTGAATATGGAAATACAAACAACAGTGTACAAGTCCAATGATTGACTCGCCAAACATGTAAAAACAAATGACACAGAGCCAGCATCTGTTATTGAAAATCGTATGAAAATTAAAAGAAAAAAGAGACACACATTGATCAAACGCGTCCATCGAGAATTCGAAAATAAGAATGCTCTTCATGTGATATCTTTCTGTGACATCTCAGCTGCTAACTACTAATTGTAAGTCACTTCCGGCGACGTAGAAACGTTAACACGTCGGTAAAATGATACTCGCAGATGTTTAATTGATGCAGTTGATGCCTGAAGTTGTCCGTGTAAATTGTTTTAATTAGCACGTCCTGTGCATCGGATGGGTTTAGAATATTAGGGGAGTGTCATTTTGGTCCGAATGAAACGAGGAGATTGTGTTAATTAATTTGGAGGATCTGCTGTGACACGGTTCTGTTGCAATCGCGCCATGAATTCGTACAATGCGTTCGAGTTTTATTTGAGAATTCGCATGAAAATCTACCCAAAATTTAATCCATGAAAAATCTGTATGGGGTCCGGATCTCTTCGGTAGGCCAAAATTTCGAATTTCATAAAAGATATACTCGAATCCGACACACGATCTATTTTTTTTATCTTTAATATAGATACTGTTTGACACCAGAACTATGCGTCGATGATCAAAACAATTTTTCTTAAAAACATCGTTCAGTGCATTTTTGAATAATATTTCGCGAAATGTATAAATAAAAGTTTCTGTTCTTCCACCTTTTTGTACTGTCGCGTATTTTCGTTTCTCTCGTATAAATTTCATACTTTGCAGACAACCTGAATTGTTTGTCAAATGTCACTCTCGAAGAAAATTTTGATATTCTCCCTTAAGAGTATTCGACTCAAGAACCGATTGTACATTAAAGTACAGAGACCTCGGTAAATATCTCAGAAGCTTTTCAGATTTTTTACAAAAAAAAAAAAAAAAAAAAAAAAAAAATTAGTGACAGAGTTACGAACCAGATCGCCCGCGAAACATGCGAAAAGTCAGTCATTGTCCACGGAAAGTCACGCGTGAAAGATCCAAAAGATCCTCGCGTTTTACCGTTCCAGTCCCTGGTCCATTTCGCAGATCGATCACAGTCAATGGTTCACTGTCGTTAAATACAATTTCCCGGAGTCCCTCTGGTGCCTCTCCTGCTGGGGGAGGTTCGGTTGAAACACCAATCTGGTCGAAAGAGCCACGTTAAATCGACGATATACCCCCTCCCCGTTCTCCACCCCCTAGTAGAAGAGGCAGAGAAGGTCCCACGTAGCAGTCGATGGTCAATTGGTGTGAACGTACTCTGCGAGCGTGTCCATTCTGGCCGCCGGCTTGGGAAGAGCCCCTTTAGAAACGTTCCACTGGCAACGGGCCATCCATTAATACGAATTAGAGTATTTAACTTGGCCGGCGGGGGGCAGGGGGAGGCGGAGAAGGAGAAAGCCAGGGATAAAGGGGCGAGAAAGGGAGACGAGGATGGGAAAAGCGGCACGAATCGTTGCGCCCTGCGGAAACAAATTACCCGAATTGCTCGCCACCGTCTAAATTCTGCCTAACTTCTTTTTTCCCCTCTCTCTCCTTCTCTCTCTCTCTCTCTCTCTCTCTCTCTCTTTCTTTTTCTATCTGTGTACGTGTGTTTCGATCAGTGCCACGAAAGGTGTTTTCGCGCGATAGCAAAAACTGCGGCGAATAAAAGCGATGGTAGATGGATGCTGGTGATTATAGAGTGAATGTTTTATTCATTTTCGCGCGATATTGGGGAAGGGGAGTTTCTCTTGCTGTGCGACGAAATTGATGTAGATCTGCTGCCATTCGTAGGAGAGCCGTTCTGTCGTTCTGGCGTATTTTTCTTTAAATCAGTTTTATATTTCTATTGGTGTAAAATTGTCGTATTATTGTTTCATCAACGATTTCATCGAATTATAGCCTTATTATTATTGTTAGTTTAATTAGTCTACGTCATTTAATTCCTTGAGAAGAAACGTACATTATATTAATATAATAACATAATAACACATGTTATATAATAATAATGTATAATACGAAATAATAATATGTTTCTTCTAATTAATATAATATTTCTTCGAATTTCTCAAGGAATTAAATTCCGCTCGCAAACGTGAAATTGTTAAGCCAACGCGATCAGATCGTCGTGGAATGTAACGTAAGCGAGATTGCGGAACCGTCCGCGCAATTCAAGGTATTGAAACGTGCGCGCCATAACCGATTATTAAATAACGAGCTCGATCCATTTCGAGAAGCGGTGGCGAGACGCAACCGTTCCCACAATCGACAAGCGGGGAAACGCAAGCGAGCGAATCCGAGGCCTCGTATCGAGTAATATGACGGAATTGCAGCTCGTTGGAATCATTAAGGCACCGGGTCCCGGCGACAGTTGTAATTTATTTCGCTGTCTAATAAACGTCGCAGGAATGCCCGATAAGAGTCGACGACGACTCGCTGGCCCAGAAGGATTACGTCTGTTCTAGCCATGGATGGTCACGTCCGGAGTTCCGCTTCCTCTTCCCGCTGAAATCCTCTTTTCGTTCGATGCCCCGATGCCCTGATATCTCTTGAAACGTTAATTTCGAAGAATCGGGAAGCTCGGATTTGGGTACTGAGAATATGAACCATTCAAGGAATTGGATAATTTATTTAATGTAATTTCGATTTATTTTAATATTGTGAAATATAGGTATAATACAATGTTCCCACCTCTGTCATCGTCGTTGAAAATAATGTAACATTTTCCAATCACGAACATTTCGTCAATTTTCAATAATTATTCAGCCTCGGTGTTCGTCGAATACACGTGTCCCCTTTCGAATCCCCAGTTAGCCTAATATCGCGACAGCAGCAACAGCACGGCGGCAGAGGAACGATGCAATATCCAAACTTAACCCTGATCCACCTGTTTACCGAAGATTTGGAAAATACATACCCTCGTACAATATGGAGACACTTAGCATGTAGATTCCCGTGTGGCTGGATGCTTGAATGCCGAAGCTGTTCGATGTTGATACAGCGTTCTCCGTGTACATGGTTAGTCCGAGACCTGGACGTACCTATGCACGTATGTATGTATGTATCTATCTATCTGGGAATGATATTCGACGCGTACGTGTGTCGGCTGTGCCTGTTTCGGTATGTAGGTACCCGGTAGTCTTGGCCATTTAGGTATTTGAACGCCTTGGAATCTAGGTGCAACGGATATCGATGGGAGTGAATACTGCGTGGTTCCCCGTGGAATGTCCAGGTGTTTGGGAATCCGCTTGCCATCGTATTTCGAATTTTCTAGGAACTCGAATCCACAGGTAGCCGCGCACGCTGAGCGTTTCGAATTTCTTCGAGTTGTGTACCTCGAGCATCCTCGGGCAAGTTCAGGTACTACCTAGAAATTACGCTGCTTAGAATATCGTTATATTTTTTTTTTTTTTTTCACTTCTGTATATGAGATATTTTACACGTTCGATTGTTAATGTTTCAAATATATTAGCTACGATTATTCTGTACGCTGCTTAGAGTATCGTTATATATATTTATATATATTTTTTTTTTTTGTTAATGTTTCCAATATATTATTCTGTACGATTATTCTGTACGCTGCTTAGAGTATCGTTATATATATTTATATATATATTTTTTTTGTTAATGTTTCCAATATATTATTCTGTACGATTATTCTGTACGCTGCTTAGAGTATCGTTATATTTTTTCTTTTTTTTTTCACTTCTGTATATGAGATATTTTACACGTTCGATTGTTAATGTTTCAAATATGTTAGCTACGATTATTCTGTGTCGTGCATTTAATAATAGTTTGAAATTCGTATTAATATACGGTATAAAATACGCGTGAGAATTGTTAATTTTTGCACGAATGTACGAAAGTTGAATTCCATTTTATGAAACTCAGTGAATTATCCTATGCCAATTTTCTTCTATTTAGCGATTCATTTATCCCACCATTGTTAGAGTTTTCATTTTTATATATATTTAGATATTGAAATATTTTTCCAGTACTGTCGATATATGATATTGTTTGCATGATCTGTATGATAATCTATTTCATCGTTGTTCAAATTTTCGTCATTAAAGTAATCTTCAATATTTTTGACACCACAGCCATCCATTATTAAAATTTATCCCACTGGAGAAAAACAATTTTGTTCTTTTTGTCAGAGTTATTATATCACATTATAGAATTTTAAATTACAATGAAATCGTCAATCACGCAGTCTATTTGCACTTCCACATAAATAAATAAATAAATAAATAAATAAATAAATAAATAAAAATCTCTATGTAACTGAATTACTAACTCGATGATTAAATCTCGTATTACGTGATACAGTATCTAAAATATCTGTAGATCTCTCTTGAAATTCGCTTGACAAATTATTCGCAAAAGACGGAGTCTTTTGGATACGGGAAATGCGTATTCCCGTGCTTATCGTGCACTTTCCACAGTCCGTATTGCGCTTATAATTGCGCGCTCATTTTCGTCCAAGGATTAAGACGGATCAGACAATAAGCGGTTTAGGTATCTCGCTATGATGCGCGTTCTATACCCCTTCCGCTCTCTGTCTCTCTGTCCCTTTTACTTCCCTTACACCCCCTGTCGGCTCGTCCGCTATTGATTCCAGGTTTATTCTTGGCATCCCGCTCGCTTTGCTGGCGTCAAAACATCGAAAGCAAGGGTACCGTACCGAGGCTCTGACGCTTAACGCTCCTGGATCGTTTAGCCTTTCTCTGAGAGACACCTGGTCTTCGAGGCTCGATAATTGGCCTATTTGGAATTTTTTTTTTTTTTTTCGTATATTATCACCGAATGAAGCCACTCGATTGAGAAAGGAAATGTCGAAGGAAGAAACGCGCGCGTGCTGCCATTGAAATCTTCGAACCGAATTTGTCAGTTTCTAATTTAAATTTTCGCAATACAATGTAATTGTAGAAGAGACTCGGCGAATTATGAGATCAACTGTGAAATTGATGACGGGAGAATTTATTACATTATTACATTACCCAATTGTAATTTATTACATTACCCAATATTTCAATCGGTGCCGAAACCTCAAATCAAACTTCACTAACATCGCTCATCGAAACCCAATAAACTCTAAACGGTACACTGCAATTTCGCTGCCCTTCGTAAACCGATACGCGACGTATCCAGTTGCCACCAGTTATTAACCCCTTGACGTACAGTGACGTCACGCGTTTCCTAAGCTAAAGTCGACAATATGACGTCTCTGATAGTAATAAAAAAGAAGAAAAAAATATCATTCTATGCTTGGATATGGCTCTTTTGAATCTGGCGAATTCTGAATGTATTTCTAAATACTGCGAATGTCGTGCGCCGAAGGAAAACGTTGAGCAATCGATCGACGTCGTTTCTTCCCTGTCGCCGATTGCAGTATCCGCGTATTCTCCGATCTGCGAATCGGCGTGCAGCGCAATTTGCATCGCGCCGCGGACGATAGAGCCGGAACAGGCGAAGGTTCCCCCGTGCTAGCTGAATAAATTTCCCTTTCCGCGCGTAAGCCGGTCGTTCCGCGAGCCGAACGGCATTAATAAATTAGCATTACAAGCACCCGAGCTGGATTTCCATCTAACGAGCCGTTTAATGGTACCGGTGACTTGTAACTTACACTCTGTTTCAGCAATTAAATCCTTGCCGCGATGAAACTTGCCTGATCCGCGAGGACACGTCCGATCAAACGAGCTTCGTACTTGGACCGAGACGTCGACGTGATGGTTACTTCGTGCTCTTCGACACGATCGCCAGCTTGGCTGGCCAATCACTTCTCCGCGATGTTACTTTTATTGGGTTACGCTCGTGTCGTCCATTGGACGAACGATAATTAATGCTTGTTGCCTTGACACTTTCGAGCAGACAGAACATTCTCGGTAATTGGAAAGTTAAAGCAGCTAAGATTGCTTGGAATAATTGAGCTGTTGCGGGCATGTTGCGGTTCAAATGATACGCGATGGGTTAACGACGGCCTTAAGATGCGGGTTTTCTAATCCTTTTTCCTCGTCCGATCGTTTTTTGTTGCGCCACGATCGAGACTCGTGCCACCAAGGTCCTTCGAACTTTACAATGTCGTAGATGTTGTAAGAATTTGTGATTAGTACTATAGCTATTGTACTTGGTTACTTCTTTTTTTCTTATGTACCTTCGTTTATTACTTTATTACTGTCGGAATCTTGTAACAAGTTGACTTGTTCTACTGAAATATTTCATTTCACTACCTCTTCGTTGAATTTCACTCGAGACTTTAGAAAATAATAGATTTCACGATTACGAGAGAAGTATACAAAATTATCACGCTGCGTTATTAAACTTGACAGTAATTAAATTTAATTTAGTGAAATTTCCGAAGCATTCAAATCAGTCTCTGAATGTTAATCAACTGCGAAATCTCCGAAGGGAGAACCTAAATATTCCAGCCCCTGTGCAATAACATCCTGAGACTGTTAATTTTCCAAGGCGGTAAATTTAGCCGCTCGGATATATCAAGTTCAGAAGTTCGAAATATTGTTTCGCGTTCCGTCTGTTCCACGGCAACGGCGATCTAACTAACATACACGCGAACTATGTCGCAACGTGTGTAGTTCTCTCCCTTCACGGTGGTGCTTGTTTCTGACATAATGAAACCGTTCCGCATCCGCAACCGCACCATTCACGCGCTGCAATCTCGTTCGCATCTCGACTGTCGAGACGTTTGCGGGATCCGCGAATTAAATAATACGCACGATCCGAAACGAAATCGTGGAAATTAAGCATTCGTCGCGAAGATGAACATTTAGCGGGTTGACCTTGTCGTTAATATCGCGAGTGGCAAGTGTTTGAAGTTTATCTTGTACTTTCATTAATTATTAAATGTATTGACGAAAAATTATTATATATTCTTATGTATTAAATTATTATATATATTTTATATTTTGTATTATTATATATTTTTATATATTAAATTAATTAATAATAATACATAATATTATATATTTATATATTTTATATTATATATTTCTATATAATAAATTATTATAAATTATATTTTTATATATATATCTAGAATAATAGTATAAAGCATAATGGTAAAGTTCGTTTATTAACTAGGGAACCTGAACTAGATAAATATTTCAGTTCTCGAAATTTAGACTTAATAGTTAAATACATCTCTAATCATATATCTAACTAGTTGAAATTATCAATCAGTCTCAGCTATCAAAACTCCAGCTACTTTTACTTGAATATTAAATATTAAATGTAAAAAGATAAAGCCATGCGAAGGACTTTTGATCGATCTTTGCACTCGTTCACTATTATCAGCCTCACAAGAAACAAACATTTAAAAAAAAGACGTATCGTATCTTTGTACAATATAAGTGAGCAATCTACATTTATTTCGCCAATGAAAATTATTTCTCGTTAATGCAACGCAATTAGAATCCTTTGAAAAACTACGTAATAATTTACAGATAGTTTGTTCAACCTTGATAGAAAGGTTGCTGCTTTTTTTACGTTATCATGTGGAACGTACATGTGGAGACAAGTTTTTCTCTCTGTAAAAAAATATAACGGGCACATAATCATTGATGTTATTCCGCGGTGTTATGTCATCGTGCTCTGCTATCGCTGCTGCTATTACGTCACTATGGCGCCAGCAATACGTCAATACAGTGTCCATGTGTATTTACTCGTTTCCCATGGCGGTGCGGTGAATTGGAAATCGCCTGAACGTTAGCCAGTCCCATCTGCGTTCATCTCCCACACTGTCAGACTTGGCCAACCTCGACCGGTCACTGATATTCCTACTTTATCCACGTCACCGCCGATAATTCATCTTTAGATGTATCAGGGGGGAAAAAAATGGATCGTTTTTCCTTCCTTTTTCAATTTGTAAGTTGAAATTTGCAAGCGAAGGAAATCGGAGCTGGTGAAGCGCAGAGATTTTAAAGTTTTGAGACTCTATTGGAAACTTTAAAATTTGGTAGAGCTTTGAAAATTGAAACATAGAGAATCCTTAGAGCTATAGAGCTTCCAACTCTACAAGTTTAGATCTAGAAAAGTCCACAGGGTTTTTGCATAGGTATCTAAAAACCATAGAAATTCGAAAATTTGAAGACCCAAAGTACTGGAGCCACAGGGGTTTCTTAACTCTATAATTTCAGAGTTTTTCTAAAATTCTTTGAGAATGAACTTTAGAACTCCAAACTTTTAATTTTTGCAATTTAATCTTCTGTGAAAAACGTTTCTTGATTTTTATTATACATATAAATTTGAGATTTATTTATTATTAGAGAGAACTAGAGTTAGTAAAGCTTTAAAAGTTTAAAAGTCGAAAGCTTTATATAGGAATCTGAAAGTTTGATAATTGGAAACTCTGAAGAATCAAAATTCTAGAGCTATGGAATTTCTACCTCTATAATTTTAGAGCACCAAAGTCTCCAAAGTAAACATCAAAGTCTTCGATTTCTAATCATTGCAGGTTCTTCGCATCGCGTAAGTTCTACCAGAGATCTTACACAAAGTTTCGTTTTTAAGAGTAAAAGGGATTGTCTGGTTTCCAGACACTTTTGTACTTTTAATAGTATTATTATCGATCGTCAGAACGAAAGGAAATAAATCGAGTAACACGTGGACTGAAATCGAATCCAATAGTCAAATGTCGAACGTCATAATGCAAAGGTTAAGTTAATTCTGGACTACTTATTTAGACCGAAAATTTACAAATATACTTTCCCAAACGCATAAATTTTCACGTAAAAATCTTTCGTCTAATTGCGACAGAATATATTAAATATGCAAACAAAATATTAGTTATAATGTTTGAAGAATAAAAAAGATCAGCAAAATCTTCAATAATATTGTAATAAAATCATCTATAAAATTTCACTCCTCTAACCTTCCACATAGAAACACTATTTGAACTTTTTATCCCAACTACAAAATTTCGTTTAATTACAAATATATTAAATAGATTACCAATATTTGTACGAAATTTAAATGTGAAGAAGTATCCACAATATTCGTATATTATAATATTTGGAGTATAAAATAAATAAAAAAAATAGTTATACATAAAAATACAGTAAAAATTTCTAACAAAATCGTAATAAACATATCCCATCGAATGTAATTCCTTAAATTTTAAATTTCCACGCAAGATAGAACTTGGTTGTCTTTATAATTGTGTTTATAAAAATTGAAACGGTGAACCTGAACAGACTAGAAATCCCTGATAAAATCATGCAGCAAGTTCCAAAGAGCTCCGCTCTTCAACCTCAAAATTTCCACGTAGCTGTTCCTCTTTTTCACCTAATTATACACAGCTGCAAATCGCAGTGCAGCCGAGTTTCGTACGTCGGCTCACCCCAATCATAGGTTCCCCTGCTTCTCCTCCTCGTTTTGCACGCAATAACCGCAAGACCCAACGAACACCGACGCCATGGTCCACTGCCCCCGAAGAGGAAACGCTGTCTGAATGGCCCTTTGTACGTATCGTAGCTTGGTTTCGAGCAGACCGGTCGCAAAAAGCTGGACAACGCGCGAGAACAGACGTATCTCTTGTTACGAGTATCCTAATTTTTCACCCGCCGAACCGTGAATTCCCGCGAAATTGGCCGCACACCAAGTAAAAATGAAAACTTAAAGAAGTTCTGATAACGTTCAATGAATCTTCTTCTTTGAACGAGGAGAAGGAGCCCGTGCCTCCCGTCTCTGAGTATTCTGGCTCGGCGTTCGAATGACGGACGAAAAAAGTGCTCGTTAATGACCGTTTCAGAGAGACGATGCTCGCGATAAAAAAGAAAGTCGTAATTGCAGACTGGCGTAATTAAATTCAAGGATGGTCGTTTATGAAAATCAAGTGGCGGGGGGGTGCCGTCGTATTGGCTGGCTTCTCGCGTGAGAGATTCACGCGATTCGATTAACGGCGTGGAAGTTGAGTAACGGGATGATAATTTATTCTAAAAGGACGTGGAGCGAAGTCGAAGGTTATGTCGTTCTACGTTTCTAAGCTGGAGTTATTACGACGACGTGTTTTTGTTTTTTTTTTTTTTTTTTTATCAGAGTTGAATTGATATTGTCGATGAAACTTTACGAGGTTCCACGCAAGTTAAATTACAATTTAATTCGGCTGGTGTCATTGAGCTCGTCTAAGACTAAATTACGTAATTTAACGTGGAAAACTTTTGTCAGAAGTCGGCAGGAAGCTTGGCAAATCGTGGGAAATTAATTTCTGCGTGGACACGTGGCGCCTTCATCGTGGCATCGTGATGTTCGTATCGACGGCTTGTTTATCCACCAGCCAGAAGAAATAAATTGGCTGGCCAAGCTCGAGGCGAAGTTTCGAATGAAAGGGAAGCATCGGCCTTGTACCGTTCGCACGATCTTGCGGATCGAGTTTGCGAAAACTTCGCGAACCTCGTGAACGCAACCACCCCCCCAACTACTTTGACGTGCGTTCCCCACATTGAGTTTGTTACACGGTTCTCCTTAGTTTGTTTAGCTTCCACAGCTACGGAGAGTTCCTTTGATATTAATAAGATCCACGGTTAACCGTTTGTCGGGCAGAGTGTTGTGCTACTTCGTTTTCTTGTAAACTTGAAACTAGTTGACGCAGATGCGCACATGGAATTACATTGTTCGAACTCTGTAAATGTGATGTAAGTTGGTTAACTGATGTGTCGAAGAGGATGAATGGGGAATCAGGAAATTCGTTGCATCTGAAATACTCTTTGTATGATAATATTATATGCAACCAATGTATATAATATTATTATGCATGTACATGTCTGGAATTATAAATGTACATTCGTCATGATATTACATAAAATTGCACTTACTGTTCATTTAATTGTACATATAATTATGTGTCGAAGAGGATGAATGGGGAATCAGGAAATTCGTTGCATCTGAAATACTCTTTGTATGATAATATTATATGCAACCAATGTATATAATATTATTATGCATGTACATGTCTGGAATTATAAATGTAATTCGTCATGATATTACATAAAATTGCACTTACTGTTCATTTAATTGTACATATAATTACTTACTCAATTATATATACATCATTCAATTACACATAAAATTTTTTTATACAGTTCATTCATTTAATTTCGATCACTAATTTTCTAAATTTTAACGATCAAGTCTTCAATCCTTATCTACTTCAATTAATTTTTTCCTTTCAAATTAACTCTAATTAAAGGGATCACAATTGTAAGTGGTGGAGCATTCATTATAATTTTATCATTATGACTATTATTCATATCATAGATTTATTTAACATCGTTGTTAATATTTACAGTATGGTAATATTACGCATTCAGTTCATCTCCACTCGTACGATCTCTCCCATAGTCCGCAGAACGTAGAGAAATGGTTTCACAAACGAATGATGGCTACCCGACGTGTTTCGAAATAATGCGAAAAGATGGGGACGCGAAACGAAGGTCCAGGCGTCCGTGACCTGTCCTCTCAGGAGTTATGCCAGCGACGCTCGTTCTCTATTGTTCGCATCGCAGAAAGAAATCGGCGCGGGGGTTGCAGCAGTCGACGAACGCCGTTCGCATTCGTAGCGCGTACTCGCCGGCGTAGAAGGCGTTAGTCTTCGTTGAGAAGTATTGTCTTACGGTGACGACGATCGCATGCAAATGCGGGATTACGTAATTGCGAGGAGGCGCGAAAGAAAAGAGGATTTCCGCGGAGATTAACCGTGGCAACCTGGAAGTGGAAGCGAGATGGTTTTCACGAGCTGGATTCGTTTTGAGGGATAGGGATTTCGCGGATGATACTTTCGATAATACGCTGATGCGTACTCGAATTAATTATTGCGTCAGAGAGATCGAAGTGCGAAGGAGGGAAAGTTTATGGTACGCTGAAGGACGAGCTTTTTATTTGACGAGGAATTACCGACNTCCATAAAACTTCTATGAAACGTTGGGAGATTGTTCATTTCTACAATCGTTTTGTCAAAATGATTTTAGCAAGAACATGTTAATTTGGGATTTTCTGTTTTCTAGGTTAGAAGGAAGTAAATGTTACGTTTGAATTATTTTTCTGAATTTATAAATTTGGTAATTTTCAATATGTTCACTGAATTTTTTTTAAGTAAGATTCGTCTAGTTAAAACAAATTTGTGAAAAACATGAAAAATTCATAGTTGTCTTGTGAAAGATGATACTTTCGATAATACGCTGATGCGTACTCGAATTATTGCGTCAGAGAGATCGAAGTGCGAAGGAGGGAAAGTTTATGGTACGCTGAAGGACGAGCTTTTTATTTGACGAGGAATTACCGACATCTCTAAAAATCCATCGATCCATAAAACTTCTATGAAACGTTGGGAGATTGTTCATTTCTACAATCGTTTTGTCAAAATGATTTTAGCAAGAACATGTTAATTTGGGATTTTTTGTTTTCTAGGTTAGAAGGAAGTAAATGTTACGTTTGAATTATTTTTCTGAATTTATAAATTTGGTAATTTTCAATATGTTCACTGAATTTTTTTTAAATAAGATTCGTCTAGTTAAAAAAAATTTGTGAAAAACATGAAAAATTCATAGTATTGTCTTGTGAAAGAATTAAAAAATACTTTCGACATATTATATTTTTTATGTGCACATGCATCTTGACTTTGGGGGGTTTGTTCAAATTGATACGCTAAAGAAAATATGGTCACTTAAAACGTTATAAAACGTTATAAAAATATTCAAAAAAATATTCATTTGACACATTAGCGTCATTATAATTCATGATTTGTTTGGAATTTGGGTTAAAATATAAAATCGTTGGAAATGCATCGTCCAAAAATTGCATTTTGATAAATAATATTCCAATAACAGCACAGAACAGTTCTCCATGAAGTAATTTCATAAATCAACGTCTACGTCAATTCGCAACTAATTTAATCAAAGTAGCCCATGGTCGTTTAACAAACGGTAACGAAATACTATCACGATTTGCGCAGAGCTCTCCATTAATCTCTGTCCATGGACACGGTATTCAATTTAATCACTGATACTGCAATTAATTGCAGTCGCATATTCCATTAGTACCACGCCAAATATTAAAAGCAGGATTATTAGGAAATGCATGAATGAAGCTCAAGCTTCGAAAAAGAAAAAAAAGAAGAAGAAAAAAAAAAAGAACGAAGGAAAAGAAAAAGAAACAACCGGGAACAACTGTTTCTTTCTTACGCTCTCGTGTCTTTTCCAACGTTTTTATTGAGTCGCTCCAAGGCAAAGAGGGGAAAACGAGAGATTTGTAGCATGTGGCTAATCGGCGCGCGTGCAACACGCGAAATGATTTGCGGCTTGTTCGCGGCGTCTACTTTTAATAGTGGAGCGTATTTATTGTCGCCGCGACGTGAAAAATTCATACGTGCACAAATCATTGTCTCGTTTCTCGCATTTGAAATGCAAAATTTCGAGAGCCGTTGGGTCGCACAACCATATCGGGATACTACCGTTAATAGAGCGATGTTTCTTGCTTACGTATATTGTGTCGGTTTGGTATATCGATTCTATAATGTACATACTTAGTACAAGAGTAAGTGTCAATGTTGCTAACGTGTCGTTTCGTTTGCAATTTTTTTTTTTTTTCTCTCTCTTAGATCGTCGTACGTTTTTGTAGAAGGGATCTTCGAGCATTGTTATTTTCATTTTTATTTTTAGATACGTTAGATACACTTGTAACTTTCATTTTGATTCAATTTTTATTCGATTTTTAATTCAATCTCTTGAAATTTGAAGGAATTGTTATAGATATTAAATATGATGTACGTATAATATTGTGACGAGTTTAGATGTTCGAATCTTCTCTGTAATTGTAATTTGTGTAATGTCTTTTTAGACTACAATAAATGAATTGACACAATGAAAAAGGTTTCCTGAAGTACACTGACATTAAGATCCAGAAATTCTAACAACAAGGACAAATTAGGAACTAAATATAAAAATCAGAAAGACGATATTTTCACGATTATAAAAAAATATATAATTTAGAACGTTTCGGCGATTTTACAAACGCAATAAAATTTAAATAGAATTAAATATTATAATAAATATTAAATACTACTTTAAGTATCACAATAAATATTTTATACTAAATTCCGCCGCTACAATACGATAAAAACTTCCTTTCAAATATCATTTTAAGTTAGATGGGACACAGATGAGAAATATGATAAGTAAATCCTTGGAGTTTCCATTTCACAAGTGCAGTGTCAAATGATCTGTACGTTGACAGTTAGATGTCGCGAATGAAACGCGGTATTAATGCAACGTTGATTCTCGATTGATGAAACCGAGAATGGAGGAATGTTCAGGGGGAAGAGAAGATGTTGCGTATTTATACTTGGAAACTTGATTAGTTCACGGTGGAACGTGGTCCTTTCGTTCACTGAATGGCATCATCTGAACGGCCGCGGTGAACCACGACACTCTGGTGGAATCGCGCCAGAATATTTCGCTATTTATAAGCACGGCAGGAATATCTAGTATTCTAAGAATCTTCATTAGTAGAAATTTCTCAGGGATATAACTCGGTGCTCGAGCGTTGCTCGATATTTGGGAATATTTGGTGTGAACTGTGAGTTTAGATTTTCGTGTTCGGCAGCTGCCACTTAAGAATTCTCGTGTCTATGAACTTTCTGACACTTGAGTATTGCGGTGTTTAAGAAATCTCGTATCTAATTGTAAGGCTTTTAGAGGCGAGAAGTTTTAGAAATTTCTCTTGTCAAAGAACTCACGCGATCATCCAGAAATTTGAAGTTGTCAATTTTGTATGAAACTACGTTTTCCTTTGAATAAATAAAATTGTCATTGAAGACACTGACAATTATGATTAAAATAACACAATAATTGATTGCACTTGTATGTGACGTTGATGCTTCTCAACTCACTTTTGTATGCAGATTTCAGTTACCTGGATTAACTTTTGCCAATTTCGATCACTCTTCCTGAAACTGTCATACAAATTAATGCTCGATGCTGATGCAAGTGAAGTAATAATCATTAAACAATCAATCTGATCACTGTTGCACTGTACGTAATTGATGAATTAAAAGAACACGCCGAACAATCAATTTAATTGTTGTTATTATATTCAAAATGAACGATACTATACTGTACTATACTGTACCGATTGATAAAAAAAATGAATAAATTTTCAATTACCATTAAATTCTGTTCGATAATGATGGAAAGGACTGACCGAGTAACCAGTGTGATTTCAATTTACAGCACATGGTGCAGACAGGCATGGCTGCGCCCTACGGTGGGGGTGTCTTCCCCCCGCCGGTGAACGGCGTAGCGGGTGTCGTTGGGGCGGCTGGCGCGGCCGGTGAGGTGAAACCACCACCCCCGGTGCCAGTGAAGGAGGATAACAGCGGTGCACCCCAACAGCCGCCACCAAGCGGACCCCAAGTCCCACCACCGGCTGGTGCCCCACATCCAACCGCCCCCGGTGCCCCGACCGCGGCTAGCTTCAGTCCGCCTCCGCCTCCAAACGGCGTCGATCAACAGGCTATTGTAAGTCACGCTTATCACTCGTTGATTTCAGAATGTCTGATTTTTATTCGTCGATCGGCTGATCGGTGATATTATTTCACAACAAACAGAATGGAAATATTTATACGTTTATGGAGAATTTGAAACCTGAAATATGAAATACACTTTACAATTTGAAGTGATTGCCAGTTTGTCGATATTTACGTTTTTAGATTCTTATTTTTGTAAATGCATGGAATTAATTTAATTATGATTATTTGAGTGATCGGATATTTTTTACGTACTTCTGTGTTAATAAGTTTGTCTTCTTTTTTTTTTTTTTTTTTTTTTTTTTTTTAAGTGAAAATTTGTAGTTTCAATTATAAGATTTAGTGGATTCTCTGGTTTATTTAGCTAAATACTCACTAAAAATTTTGGATGATGGTTTAGTCTTAGCTCAGTAAATAAGGTATTTATTTTCATCTCGCATCAATATTATAAATATACAATTCGGTAGATTAGAATGATTTTCAATTTTGTGCCAAAGTAATTAAGAAACTTTCGAAGATACGTTGAGAAATTAAATCAATGAATCGATCGTAAAGTATAATTAGAAACATAATTGGTGCGTTGTATTCATCACTTTATAATATAATTAAAATCTGCATGCTTACATTTTTGAAACGAAAGTAAAAAAAAAAAAGACTACTAGTACATTATGGAAAAGTAAGTGGAATAATATATTACATCATAATATAAAAGAAATAATAGTAATAAATTAATAATATATAAAATATAATATATTATAATATAATAATATAATAAATAAATAATAATAATAAATTAAATAATTCCAAAAATGTCACATTACGAAAAAAAAGAAAAGACATTTCTTTACATTGAACCATCATACTAAATCCTAACACATTCGTTCTATAATTTTAAAGACATTGTATATACTTAAACAATTCTCAAGACTGAAAGCGTGCAGCATGAAAAGAATTTTCGGGTTTCACCAAGCCGTTTCGTGTACCGTACGTTGACACTCTCTCGCTACACTTCACAAGAAGGGGGAAACGCTTTCTTCCGGCGGATGCAATAGCGGAACGCGACCCTGTGAAACCGAGGTCACACAGCACGTTGATCGACCACTCGGGCCACCACACCGCTTTTAGCTCTCTGTCCAACTTACTTTCGGTTCGCTGTTTCGAAAACCGTTCGTCCTTACTCTCCGCCGCCTTTGCGGCCCCCTCCGACAAAAGTCCACACATCCGGCGCCTGATTTCCCGTTATTACGTCACGTCACGTAATCCTCGATAATTCCACGCGCGTACGAGTTGAGGGACAGAGTGAGATTAGGATGGAGAAAGTTCCACGGAGCCAGGGGAACGGAAGTTTCATCTGGAATCCAGAGAGAGAGAGAGAGATTGTCTGGAGGTATTAAATATCAAGAATTGCTCGAAATCAGCGAGAAATTTGAGCGATATTTACGATTGATGAATTTGAGTAGAGATTTCGATTCCTCATTTTTCGTGAGACGCGCGAGGTTCTTCTCAACATTTTTCATTTCAATTTTTATAGTTTTATACGAGCTTTACATCTTAGTTTGGATTAGCTTTCAAAATATATCCAAAGTAGTGTAATGATTATTTATTAATTTATTAATATTCGCTTGATTGTTTCAATTAATTTATCTGGATTCGTTTCGAGATATACTTAATTTTCTGCACGTTTGTTGTTTCTACACGTTCACTCACTCGTCTGAGTATTTTTATTATTGGAACTCGATCGTATTTTTCTGAACTAGAGTGTTCTTTTCAATTTCACAGTGACAATTAACTCAGTTTGACAATACGAACCGACACGGCCCGGAACGATTAAAAGTCGACTTAGAAAACATATTAGTTCACTTGACACGCGACACTTAATCAGCAAATTAAAGCACTCCGCGTTAACACTTCTCCATAACAGTTTAACGCACGGTAGCAAGCATCGAATTAAAGACCATCGATGTGAGACCACTTCGCCAGTGGTTTTAACCAGTCAATTTACGTCAACTGGCTCGTGTCAAAGGAACGATATGCTCCTTCTCTACAGAAGCCGGATCAACCAGTTCTTTCCGCATGGTTTACCAGCTTCATCAAACAAATATCCTGTCGCCTGTTTCCTCCCCCTATACGTCGTCGTCATCGTCGTCGTCGTTGTGCGCGAATGAAGCTGAAATCTCTCTCTCTCTCTCTCTCTCTCTCTCTCTCGGCTCGTCGCGCAAACGCTCGAAATTTGTTTAAGCGCGCGATAACTCGTCGCGGCGCGCCTAGTCGCGGCAATTAGCGCGACTCATAAAGCCGCCTAATTAGCCGCGCTAATTAAAGTAATTTCGTTCGTTAAATCGATTTACTAGACGGTTGGCTGGATTCCGGACTGGCCAAGAGAGTGAGAGAGAGAGAGAGAAAGAGAGAGAGACTTTGGTAATTCTCCCTGGCACCGCGCTAGTAGACACGCTTGACAACAGCTTTTAATTAAAGGGCTGGAACTGTGTAATCTCTCTCTCTCTCTATCTCTCTCTATCCTGTTCATTCGTCCCCTTCTCTGATTCTCCTCGCCTGTTGAGTTTAGAGCACGATGGAGATTTTGGTTTCTCAGGGGGAAAAAAATGAGGAGATCAGAGGAAGCGTGATGAGATGAAATCGATTGAGAAGAAGACTGTCACGAGTTGAAAATATTCTTCGCGCTGTTAAAAATTAGAGACTTAACGTTGAACTTTAATAAAGGAACCTTGATAAACTCTGACAATAAGGAAAATTTATATTAAACGTAGAAATTTAGACAACTGTGGATGTTTAGAAATAATAGATTATACGGATCTGGGGAAGTGAAAGATTGGAAGAAAGGAGAAAGTGTAGGACGAAGTCAATTGAAAAGCTTTACTGCGTGTTGGGAATTATCTAGAGATTTAAAAAGAAAATTTTGGACATTCCTAATCAAATTCACTTCGTTTGATTTAGATATTTAAAAGAAGAATTTTGATTAAACGTTATTCACGGTAGTACTACAAATTCTTTTTTTTTTTTTTCTTATTAATTATCTTTATTTACTTATTTTGCAATCAGAAATTAAACGATATTACAATATATTAAATATAATGACACTGTATTTAATACAAACGATAATACAGCTACAGTTGAAAAATTCTGGAAAGAATAGTACCGTAAATGAAATATTTATTTAACTACCACTATACACTTCTAACGTGCTTCGAACAAATTTAATTTTCGAACGAAAGTTAACGTGCACACCTCTGAAACAAGGTTCGACGAGATCAATCAGCTAAACTGTATCATTCGTTCAATATTCTTCCGAGCAGTCCATCGATCTCCAATTCTCCAATTTCGGCTCGCTTCAGTTCCCCTTTCTAAGCACGTACTCCTCTCTCCACCTCACGTCGATTCGATCATTTTACATTTCGCTCATGACACGAGAATCAGATGGCCAAACGATCCTCTCTACATGAAAGTCGAACTACTGACTGCCGAATTATCGTGACTCGAGGAAGAATCAGGACGTACGAGGACTGTCGGTCGCGGATGATGGTGTCTAATTAACCCGGGCACGAACGAAGTGCACGCGGAGCATTTCGGGGCAGGATTGAGCCGAGCGTGAAGAGTTTCGAACAATGTCGTGGTTCCGGGCGACGTGGTCGCTTTGTTCGTCGCTCGTCTGGTCAATTATCCGCTCCCGGTTAGTCAGCGACTCGTGAAGCCGCATTTTCGTTTCTGACCGTTTTGCCCGCATGGATCCTTCGCCGGATGAACGTCATCGACGCACGCAACGTCAGATGGTACCTGACATTTTCCAGAAGTCATGTCAATGCTGCGATAATTTTCAGCGTCGTTTTTTCTTTTTTTCTTTTTTTTTTTAGTCGCTCGCGCACGTCGAGCATTTTTTGTATTTAAGATTTGAGAACTTTACCAACATTTTCTCATTTTTTCTTATTTTTATATTTAAATGTAACCCAGGCAAAACAAATGATAAGCTCAATACTTCTTAATAATTTCTATCGAGTGATATCGTACCGACGAGTTCGAAAAAAAAGAGAGAAAGCGACGAATTACTGTATACGGCTCGGTCGCCCGTTATGGTCCGCAAACCAGTTGCCAGCGCAAGCTTGAAAACTTGGTCGATTGAACTCTAATTGCAAATATATTTTTGAGCAACGTTAGGTGTATATTAGGCAGTGTTCTTCGTGCATTTTATTAAGTTTTTTTCTTCTTTTAAATTTGCGTCGAATAATCCCAAAGAAAAAGAACTTTAATATAATAAAGCTTCTACGCTCCCCTTGACAATTAAAAATTACTCCGACCCTCTGTCATTCACGTTTGATAAAAATTTCTCGCGCAAAAATGTCTCTCGGGAAAAATTTACTTCCACTTGGAAATTCAAATATTCTTGAACAGGTTGTATTATATGATATATGTAGAATTGAAGAGGGGATTTGTCGAGTTACCTTCAGTGACGCGCTTACTGGGACCGGTGGATCGAAAGCACGCGAAAACTGATCACGCGTCTAGAGGGATTTCCGACGGAATCTGCTTTAGAGGACCTTGGTCTTGGAAAATCCGCTTCTAAACCGAAGGATCTCCCTCGATCTTCGTGAATCTACCTGAGGATTAGGCGATTTCAGAGAGGCCACTTTAGCTGGCCGAAGAATCTTGACAAGTCTTCCTCCGCTAGGACACACTTGGGAGAAGATCTGATCTCCTCGGGATCTGATCTGGAATTTCTTCTGGAAATTTCGAGGATCGGCAGGCTGTCCCGAAAATCACTCGGGACGTCGAGGAATCCTTGCTTCGAATTTTATTAGACTTTAGTTGCCCAATAAAATGGGTTCTCACTCTCAAAGTGATTTTTCATTTCTGATTTTGACTGTTTGCCTTTACTCGACGCTTGTATTAAAAAAATCGAATTGGAGAAAAATTGGTCTGTTATTTTTCGAATTGAAATTTTTATCACATTATTTTAAAATATTATCTTCAATTGGAGAC